GAAGTGTGAGGGAGTGGAGGGGAAAGAAAAGGAAGAGGGAAATTGCCTTTTCATGTAGATTTCACTAATCGCTTCCCTAACAAAATACGGCAGACTTGTACTAATAAGTAAGTTAAGGCTCAGTGGACAGATAGAGTGAAACGGCACAGAGGCTAATGGAATTGAAAGCTTTCCATGCCTCCATGGGCGTCTTAATTGTCAAAAGGAGACTCTCGGATGCGCGTTTCCTCCTGGATTTTGGGAAGCCTAAATTGGAGCGAGTGGCTCACTGGACTTGTTTTAAGTCGGAGCTTCTGTGGTGTGGATCAAATCCTCGATCCAAAGTCTGCAAGCGGTTCACGCTTGTTTCTTTTGAGGCCTAACACCCGCCAATGTACGCTTTTTTCCCCCTTTTTCTTTTTTTTTAAAATGCAGCCAAAGGGGGACTGCTGTCGGCTCATATAAAAAATCCATAACTTCTGCTGTTGTGTGCTTTTTCATCCTGCAGTGGATGCATTATGGGCTCATTTATTTTTGCATAGATTTATCTTTTCATAAATATTCATTCCGAATGTCACATATGTGAGTCATCTGAGAGAGGGAGAAAGAAAAAAAAAAAAAAAAGAAGTATATTGCTTTTTCAATCACAGCCAGCTTGGATTTATTGGCTCGGGGTTGCTATTGTTAACAGGCTACCTTTACAGTGATCTATTTTAGTGCCTCTGCTCCTGCTGGTTATTACAGAACTAGAAAATTCCGAACCACCGTGCTTCATTAGGAGTGAAATCAGAGTGCCGGGGAGTCCGTGAGAGGTGCGGAATGCGCGTTTAATCTCCAAAGGTCAACGTGCGCGCGCTATTTTGGAGATTCACCGCGGGCTTATAATTGGGGGTGGGGGGGCTTGTTTGAAGACAACGAGGAATTAAACGAGGACAAAGTTAGGGAGGCTGGCGCTTGGCCTTTGATGAGAACCAGGAGGTGAGGGCCCTTCATTTGCAACCTTTAATCAGTCCGGCGAGATCCGACTCACGTGTGATTGTAGAAGAAAAGAAAGGGAAGGAGATGTGGTGGTGGTGGTGGGGGGGGGGATAAAATGGTAATTAGTATTGATTACCTATGTGCATATGACCCCGTGCTCTCCTCTTGCATTCTTAAATCAACCCAGATTATTGGATTTTTCTAATTTCATGCTCAGAGAGAAGCAACCAGCAACATGAAACTGCCTCCACAATTAAGCACGTGGCCATGGAGGTCTGAGGAAATTATGACAAAGAGAAACAAGTCTGTTTTTTGGGGTTTTTTTTGGCCCTGTGAACCTGAATTAACAACACTGGTTAAAGTCAGGGATGATAATTATTCTTTGGGACTGTCTGTCAGGACTGTAGGTGATTCAGGTAGCTTTTTTCCATCTCACATCCCTCCACTGTCGCCAAGCGATGGCTTCCACCCAGCCATATATGTATGTGATCACTCACAGCGAGTACGAATGGGGGGGGGGGGTCCGTTTAGCCAGGAAAAGAGGAGCCCAATTACATGTATACACAATTATTACACCCATGGGAAATTGAAATTTTTCTTTCAAATGATAAGATTAATTCCTAATTATGGATGCGCACGTGCTCGTGCACGCTGGCGCGAGGCCTGGCGCGAGGCCTGGCGCGCTTAATCTGCTTTGGTAATGAGCCACCACGCAGCCCGGACCGCGTGGAGAGGAAGTGGACAAAGTGATGGAGGGAATCCGTGTCACGGTGGACCCGGTGAACCGGGGACTGGTGAGGAGAGCACGGCGCGCTGCCGCCACCTGCTGCCTCCACGTTTAAATCATGACCAGACTGTTGATAACCGGTTAAAATGTCCAGTCCAGACAAAGAGAGCTCATTTTTCAAACTGTTAGTTTGAATAGAAGTTCATCTTTTTTACTATGTTGATGGAATGGTGCAGTCTTTTGGATTTGGGTTTCATAACTATCTTTTATTGTCATTAACAAGAAACAAATAAGATTACTTAAAAAGTATATAGGATTAGGTACTCTAATCTTTACTGATTTACTTTACTGTTGATACCCGGGTAAAATGTCCAGTCCAGGCAAAGAGAGCTCATTTTCCAAACTGTTAGTTTGAATAGAAGTCAATCTTTTTTACTATGTCGATGGAATGGTGCAGTCTTTTGGATTTGGGATTCATAACTATCTTTTATCGTCATTAACAAGAAACAAATAAGATTACTTAAAAATATATAGGATTAGGTACTCTAATCTTTACTGATTTACTTTACTGTTGATACCCGGGTAAAATGTCCAGTCCAGGCAAAGAGAGCTCATTTTTCAAACTGTTAGTTTGAATAGAAGTTCATCCTTTTTACTATGTTGATGGAACGGTGCAGTCTTTTGGATTTGGGTTTCATAACTATCTTTTATTGTCATTAACAAGAAACAAATAAGATTACTTAAAAAAATATATAGGATTAGGTACTCTAATCTTTACTGATTTACTTTACTGTTGATACCCGGGTAAAATGTCCAGTCCAGGCAAAGAGAGCTCATTTTCCAAACTGTTAGTTTGAATAGATGTAAATCTTTTTTACTATGTTGATGGAATGGTGCAGTTTTTTGGATTTGGGTTTCATAACTACTTCATAATTACTTAAAAAATATATAGGATTAGGTACTTTTATCTTTACTGATTAGGTAGATATTGGAGTACATTATTAGGTTGTAGCGAAAGTCGATCTTTTTTACTATGTTGATGGAATGGGGCAGTTTTTTGGATTTGGGTTTCATAACTATCTTTTATTGTCATTAACAAGAAACAAAAAATATTACTTAAAAAATGTATAGGATTAGGTGCTCTAATCTTTATTGATTAGGTTGATATTGGACTTCTTCGTTATTGGGTTGTATAGCGAAAAACTATCTTAAAAGCCTCCAACTTAACCAAAGTTCTGATGTTTACTAGGAGAGATCATATTTCTCCAATTTTAGCTCCTCTTCACTGGCTCACTGTTCACTTCAGAATAGAAATAAAGATTATCCTCCTCAAATGAAGCTTACTGACCAAGCACATCACATCCTAAATAGGATACCCGGGTAAAATGTCCAGTCCAGGCAAAGAGAGCTCATTTTTCAAACTGTTAGTTTGCATAGAAGTTCATCTTTTTTACTATGTCGATGGAATGGTGCAGTCTTTTGGATTTGGGTTTCATAACTATCTTTTATTGTCATTAACAAGAAACAAATAAGATTACTTAAAAAATATATAGGATTAGGTACTCTAATCTTTACTGATTTACTTTACTGTTGATACCCGGGTAAAATGTCCAGTACAGGCAAAGAGAGCTCATTTTCCAAACTGTTAGTTTGAATAGAAGTCAATCTTTTTTACTATGTTGATGGAACGGTGCAGTCTTTGGATTTGGGTTACATAATTATCTTTTATTTTCATTAACAAGAAACAAAAAAGATGACTTAAAGACATATAGGATTAGGTACTCTAATCTTTACTGATTAGGTAGATATTGGACTTCTTTGTTATTGGGTTGTAGCGAAAAACTATCTTAAAAGCCTCCAACTTAACCAAAGTTATGATGTTTACTAGGAGAGATCCTATTTCTCCAGTTTTAGATCCTCTTCACTGGCTCACTGTTCACTTCAGAATAGAAATAAAGATTATCCTCCTCAAATAAAGCTTACTGACCAAGCACATCACATCTTAAATAGCTCATAAGTCGTTCATTACCCAAACAGAGCCCTTCACTCTCAGACTGCTGGTCCATTTGTGGTCCCTACCTTTAAAATTTGTCTTAAAAATACAGTTTTTTAACAAAGATTGTAGGTATAGATGGCCCAAGTGATGCTGCTAGAGGTGTGGACTGCTGGGGGGAACTGCCATGATGCAACTCTTCCCCCTCCGTTCTCCTTTTTCCTCTTCCTCCATCGGACGTTAGTGTTGTTTTAGCCTCCTTTTTCTCAGCAGGTGTCCCCGAGCTCCTGAAGTTGTGCTTTCTTTCTTTCCGTCTGTCTTTCCTGTCCTCTCAAACCCCAGCTGGTCGAGGTGGATGCTCATCCTCTCTGGTTCTGATTTAGGAGTTTTATACCCCTTCAAAGGGAGTATATTCTTTGGTCGGGATGGGGGAATGGAGCAGAGTGAAGATTTGGTTTCCTTAGCTGAGACTGTTTTGGTTAACTGGCTTTGTATGAATTGGAATTGATTGGATTGTGACTGTATTACCATCAATTGGGTTCTAATTGGCTTGAATTGAACTGTATCACTGAAGTGCCCTGAGATGACAGTTGTTGTAACTTAGTGTTTTAGAAATTAAATTAAAAAACAAAAGAAAAACAAGACAACAACCAGTTGGTTACACTTCTCTATTCTGATTTTATTCAGTGGGAAACCTTTGTATCGTACACATCTAACTTGTTGGTGCAATGACAGACGGCTACTCCATAAAGCGGTGCCTATGGCACGACTGTTATCGTCATATCCATGTTTACAAGCAGAAATAAACACCGTTAAAAAGATAAATATTAGTTTTCAGTGTAAAGCACAGCACGCAGCTCTCGTGACTCGCGGCGGTGGGACGCCGTCGCGTCAGTCTCGTGTAAATATGCTGAACCTCGCGCTCGAGCTAGGCCGACGTTTTCTTTTTTGTTTTTTTTTACTGCGGATACAGTTTCTACTCCGTCCTTGTGCAGCTCCGGAATCAGAGCCTGTCTACGCAACTTGAGACGGAGAAAGTGCAATTTGAAAACAACAATGACGCTAAAACATCCACGACAACGGGGTGGGGTGGGGACACACACATACACACACACACACACACACACGCACAGATGCATGGCGGGACACGTGTTTTTTTCGTTTTGATCGTTGGGGGGGCGCGGAGGGAAGGGCACAGTTTCTCATAATGGGACAGAACGGCACGCGGGGCACGATGAGGGAAAATTAACACGGTGATGTCGGCCCTTTTTTCCGGGGGCTCTTCGACGACGGGCGGGGTGACGCTTTGCGAGGGGGGGGCTTTCACATGGCCACCGAGGCGTCCGACTCTTTGGGCCGGGTGTGGATGACGTGCTCCATCTGGCCCGAGTCGGACACGTCGTAGCTGGTCTTGTACTTGGCCAGGATCTTCATCAGGGGGCGCAGCTTCAGCCACCACTGCTCTTTGGGGATCCTGTGCCTGCGGACAGACGAAACGGCAAGACGGAAGTCAGCGTTTTTTGTTTGTTTTTTGGGCGGGCTGCCTCAGTACTAGGGGTGGGACGGTTCACAAAATCCACGGTTCGGTTCGGTTCACGGTTTTCGGTTCGGTTCGGTATATGTTGATTGTTAGGAAAATCTATTATGTCTTGTATAGTCAGGTTAAAACTGAAAGAAAAAAGCAGTCTGACATTTGATCCATTATTGTGACAGTCTGAGGTTAAAAGTAGGCGAGATTTTGGCATTGCAAGCGAGGAAACAGTGCTAATTCCAACATGTGCTTCCCTCTAAATGCAAAGTGGTCCCATACAGCAGACCTAGAAACTGCTGTTGGCGCGTCGGATTTTTATCGGCTACGCTGCTTCGCTTCTTCTTCTTGTTTCCTACTGGTGGTTGGCTTTGGGCGCAGTAGCGCCGCCTTCTGCTCTGGAGTGTAAACGCTTCCCTCTGAGAAAAAGGAGCAGCATGAACCGAACGCAACACACCCGAACCGAACCGAGACAGTCGAACCGAACGGTTCGGACGGTTTTCAGAAACCGTCCCATCCCTAGCGTTTTTTGTTAGTTTTTTGGGCGGGCTGCCTCGGTACGTACACAAAGTCGGTGTCCTCCCTGAGCTGCACGACTGGCTGGAAGACCAGGGCCCTGGCCCGCATCCCCAGCAGGCAGCAGGTGTCCTCCGTGTTGGCAAACACTCGGCCTGCGGGGAAACGTGGCAATCAGAGGAGGAAGGGGCAACGGGCAAACGTACGGCAAAGACAAGGGGTGGTGTAAAAAGTAGCAATGGAGTTTTCTTATTCTATACTAGCGAGTAACATCAAACAAGTTCGAATGGCACAGAAATCCTAACTAATACTAAGAAGCAACATAAAGCAGCAAAGACATAAATGAAAATGTGGGGCAGAGCGGCAAAGGCAAACGTTTTTACACTTGTCGAGGTATGAAATGGGTTTAATTATGCAGAGTATGTAAGAAACGCCCATGGCTGTACCCCACACTGCTTCTAATGGGTAACAAAATGACAAACAGGGACATGGAGCTACATAGAAACATGGTCATGGAGCCAACGGGGAGAAAACAAAAACAAGGATTTACCTTCATCTTATGTCATCCATATGTAAGGGAAACAAGACAGATAAAAAAAAAAGAATTTTTAATTGGATTGTGGGATTTGTCATTATTTATCACTCACAGCTGTTAATATCACCATTGAACTGTTAAAACAGTTGTTGTAAATTATCGATAATTAATATCCTCTGAGAGGAGGAGGAAAAAAAAAAAAAAAATTGCTGGGACGGAGTGACTCCATGACAGGTCTGCTTCACAACGGCCACGCCTCTGCGGGGGGGTGGGGGATCCGCTACGGTAACCACGGCTCTTCTACCGGCTAACGGGTGGAAACATCCAACTGTACCTCGTCGGAAGGTCTCCTCCAGCCTCTGGGAGAGCCACTGCATGGCCTTGGCTGAGATCTTGGTCCCGAAGTTGCGGTCGAACGGAGACGGGGCTCCGCCCTGTTAAAGGAGGAAAAAAGCACGTGTCACTCGAGGCCGAACAGCCGCTTCCACTTTGTCATATCTGCTGATTTAGTGGGTTTAAACTAAAAAACTCTTTTTCTCCGCCTGTTTCTGTTTCTGTTTATGCATTTGGCAGACGTTTTTATCCAAAGCGACTTACAGAGTAGACATAATATTACATTTCTCATCACTATGTTGAAACGTCTAGATTTTTAGACTTTTACAAAGTGAGTACCTGCTGCATGTGTCCCAGGACATTCTTCCTGCAGTCAAACACGCCCTTCCCTTCTTCTGTGTACAGCTGGTATATGAAGTCTGTGGTGTAGTTCTCGTTGCTGTTCTCGTTCCTAAACACGGAGAAGGCGTTACCGGAGCTGCATTTACGTTTTTCTCTCCTGCCGAGCTGAGATATTCTCACCTCAGGACCAGTCCTCTTTGAATGCTGGTTTTCATTTTCTCCGTCAGATGTTCCACGTTAGCCTGTGAAGGAGAAGAACAGGTGGTGCCTGGGAGAACGGCAAAGCAACACGTGACCCCGTTGAGAGGTCCAGGGGGGCATTCATTTGGCCTAAACAGGAATAACATTAAGAAACACTGACAGGCTAGGTTAAGATTATCTAATGTCTGGTGGTATTTAGCAAAGAGAAATGAGGGGACGTTCTGTCCTCAGAGGGGAGTGAAGGGTTAGATGGAAAAGGTTAAGCCCAGATGGTTGGACTGTGCAGGCATCTGGGACTCACTGATGTACAAATGGATGTAATTATTAACAAGGTTTTAAAACACCATGGACAATTAATCCAAAAGAAAACCTTTTCCTGTCAAAGCTTTTCATACCATCGGAATGAAAACAAAGTCATACCAGCTCACGCGAAGCAGAACCAGAGATGTGCCACAAATTCCTCCCACCCATATGTGACATATGGGCCAATTTTCTTTCCAGACATATTTACTTTAAAGCAAATGGGTCTGGGCTCTTAGGGGATAAGAGAAGGCGTTTTTGGTATAGTCATTGTATTTGACTTTTGTAAACCCTTAGCCTAGGACTTGATGGAAAATAGTTAAACACAGTATAACGGCAAATTTTTTGTCTCTTTGTAGTAAACCGTCTACATCAACACGCCAGCATTGGATCCAGACCAACGACAGAAGCTGGACTGGTCTGCACTATAAAAAGGAGGCAGGGGAGCTTTTCGAGTTGTTGACCAGTTTTGCCAGAATCGTGTGCGGTCAAGAATCTATGGACGTGCTCCATGATCCACGGCCCACAGATCTGCCTCCGATTGGCTGAGGCCGGACGTGCCTTCAGAGGTCTGTTTTGATGAGTGAGGGCTGGGAGCGCCTGCGGAACATCATGGCGTTTTTGTCATGCTGTGTGTTACCTGCAGGTCTCTGATGTCGAACGGCTCCTCGTAGATGTACGCGGCGTCGGCCCCCGCCGCCAGGCCTCCCACGGTGGCCAGGTACCCGCAGTAGCCGCCCATGGTCTCGATGATGAACACGCGCCGCTTGGTCCCGCTGGCCGACTGCTTGATGCGGTCGCAGGTCTGGCACACACGCACGCACGTCAGCTCACACAACTCGAGTAAAAAAAGCTCGGGGCTGGGTCAGGCTAAAGGGGCTCTGTGTGTGTTCGTGTGGGACTGTGTGTCTCAGAGCTAACGTCAGCAGGAACAGCAGTGTGGTGTTTAGCACCTGTACTGTTAGCGTGTGATATAATCCGCGTGGGAAAACACAACAGAAAAAAAAACATCAGGTTGCTCATTTAAACGATTCACAGACTGAGCCTAAACGCAGATTTCTGTTGACACACTGGAGTCCTGGAGAGGATAAGAGAGCACAGATTTTCTTTTTTTATTCTGACAACCTTGTGCTGATAATCACCTTCATATCACTTTGCTAACATTAACTCATTGACTGCCAGCTATTTTCAGAACAGAGAGTCCCATACTGCCAGAGTTTTTTGAGCATTTTGACTGATTTTTCAAGAGCCACAGAATAGTTTGTGCTATGACTATGTAAACACCGAACACACCAAAAGAAAGAGTAGACTCTTTTCTTTCATCAGGAAAGAAAATTTGTTTCTACCTTATTCAGTTCTTCCTCGACTTGCGTCTCACCGGCGACATGTTCTCTCATAGCGAACCGTTACCTTTTTCTTATTTGCCTACAATCTATGCTCATCTCCCATCAAAAGTGGCACTGCCACCTAGAGGGTCAATTTGTTACTACATACTCTGTCTAGAAGCCTGATATTTATGGACAAGCTTTAGCAGATCGTCCCCCAGCCACTCTCGTTTAAAAAGATAAAATACGTCTATAGACGTCTTTGGCAGCCAATGAGTTAAGGATAAATAGAATAACCATTCATGTTTTTTCTTTTCTTTTCTTGGACATTTAAGGTTATCGTTATCACTTTTCTGACCTCTGAGCTCTGACCGGCTGGCGGCTGCCTTACCTCCACAATAGCATTGAGGGCCGTGTCTGCCCCAATACTTAGGTCTGTGCCCGGCACATTGTTACTTATGGTGGCAGGCAGCATACACATCGGGATGCAAAACTCCTCAAAGGTAGCACGAGCCTCATACAGCTGCAGCAGACATTCAAGCGCCTGAAGCGTCAAGTCAATGAAAAAAAAACAAAAAAACAAAAAAACAAACAAACGACAACGACAAAAAACAAATGCGGTTAGAGCCAGTCGAGAAGGGGCCGGCCACTGAGAGAGTCTCTCAGCTTTTGGGAGCGTATCCTGACATTCCGGCTTTTTCCGTGTGATAGCCGCGGTGGCTTCCCTTTGGCAAAGAGGAAATGGGGGGGGGGGGGG